ATGTGATAAGTGATATGTGAAAGTGAATTACAAGTTTATGTGAATATTTGAAATGAAATAAATGATAACGCCCATGTTATGTGTCATGAGAGCTAGGGGTATAGTTGGCATGCCAAGAGTCGAGGGTCTACGCGGTTCTTCGGGACATATGTATATTCTTTGGAACATGTGTGAAGTCTGGAAAGACACATACTTGATCCCTAGCATATGTATATGATTCTTAAAGAATTCTATGTGGTCCTTATGGATATCATTATATGGCACTACGGTGCAATTCTACGTGGCACTTCGGTGCATTTATACGAGCTGTGGTGACAGCATAGTGCACAACCTCTATAGACTCACATATCGATAGTTCTCACATATGTATATGGGCTAATCCAGAGATATGAACAAATATAAGTTAGTGGTATGATAAATGCTATAGAAATGATATGATGTTGTGTGTGTATAGTGTTTGATTGAAAAAGTATGTGATTATATGATAAACTGTTAATGATGAATTATGTGTATGTATGTATTTACTGCAATTAATCTGATATGATTTTATACGATATGAAAAATGCATGGAATTGCTATAACATGATAGAACAGAACATGCATGTATCAATATATGTTTTAAAGTGCATTATAAGTTGTTATGCCTCACTAAGTCTTCGACTTAGCGTGTGATTGTTTCACACGTAGGTTTCGAGAAGAGTAAGGAGGGATGCGGAGCAAGACAGGTCAGTTTTCCTTACCAAAAGATCAGATCAGAAATATTTGACAAAGTATGTATTTGGTTATGTATAAAGTGTTGGCATGTAATAAGTCATTAAGTACGAGCACACTGATAAAGTCTTTATTTTGATTAAATAAAGTTTTAAATTTCCCGGGATTTTTCTTAAGAGTCAAGGTTTGAAAAGTCAATGTGACACTTCGGACTCGTATCCGGGTCGGATACGGGTTGGGGGTGTTACATATATTGTTTTATGCAAATAAGACTTGTGATGAGTCTATTTCTAATGTTTTGATTAAAACAATGTTTTGTAAGCTTATTAAATGCTACGAATTCTTGTTTATATGAATATAAACATAGTTTTGATAATGTTACTACGTGAACATGCACTGTTTATATTGCATACCATGTGATATTGATCTATGTGATTTTAGGAATATGTGGTATAAGCTATGAAAAATGTATAAATGGTAAAGCCCAAAAGTATGTGATATGAGAGCTAAAGGTATAATTGGCATGACAAGAGTCGAGGGTTCTACGCGACACGCGATCCTTCGAGACAATTCTACGTGGTCCTTCGGGACATTTCTACGTGGCACTTCGGTGCTTATTTTACGCGGCACTTCGGTGCAATTATATGTGGCAGTTTCGACTACAATCCAATGCACAACCTCAATGCACTCACATACCTTGAGTTCTTAGTATTGTACCATTAACTATTAAAAGAAATGACATGAATGAACAGTGCATGATGATATATGTTTTTGTTTTGTGAAATGTATTATGGTTTCTTTATTCTATGATGTTTATAAAAGTTAAGAATAAGATTAAATGTTTTAATGTTTTATTACGTACTTTATTGCCTCACTAAGTCAAAGACTTAACGTGTGAGTGTTTCACACGTAGGTTCAAAGAAGCCGGAAGAACAAAGCTAGGGCAAGTCAAAACATCATATCTCTACTGATGATCAGATCAGAAAAGATTTAACAATGTCATTTTGTTGTACTAAATGTTGTTGGTATGTAATTAAATGTTTAAATCGCATATGCTCTGATAATATTTTGTAAACATACTTGAGTGTATTTATGTAAATTATTAAGTTTTTATTTTCAATTTGAGTTTGAATTTCCGTAATTATTTTCATTTAAGGGTTCCACCATTTTGATACATATAAATTTTTAAATTTCTGACTACTTTTTAAAAGTAAATGATTTGAAAAGTCAATTTGACACATCGGATTCGTATCCGGGTCGGATACGGGTTGGGGTGTTATAGATTATGCAAATAACATCAGCTCTATACAATTAAAATTGCAATTTTCTGCGTCTCTTTTCTCTTAAGCGTGATTGTATTAAAAAATTTCATCTAGTAATAACTATAACTATAACAACACTAAAGTATATAACCATCCCAAGTGTCCTTTAGGCTTCACTACAAATGAAAGCATTATCAGTTTTACTCAATTTTATTTTTGCTGCTATTAACTCTTAAATTTATATATTTTCCAACTATTTGAATTCGGAAAAATAATTTTCATGTGTATCTTGCTCACAATCTATTAAAATATATAAAAGGTAAACAACTCTATTGATCTCGTCTATGTGCCGCAATATCTTTTGACTTTTGAGAAATAATTCCTGTGAAGAAGACAGATATCACATAGGTATGCGTTTTCACATTATAGGTAGATATCATTCAGAAAAAGAGAGAACATACTTGTAATTAACTTTTTATAATCAACCTCAAAACAGTTCAGCTTAAGTTAACTTATCCCAAAAGAGAGAGAGGACACTAAGAATTACTTGAGTTTATGATTGTAAATATCATGGTCCAGACTCCAGAGGTTTGGCCTAAAAAGGAACCGATGGCACAATAATCTTTCACCTGCTCTACTTACTCATATATTTCTTCTGTTACAGAAAGGCGCACATTCAACTCATAGTGAAGAAAACTACACTTCTAGCACCACATACATATTGTTTCACCAATCATGCTGCTCGAGAAGGGGGAAAAAGACAAGGGCACCAAACATTCAAGTGGTTTGCTCTTTCACTGCACAGAAAGTCCAGACCATGCTGCGACAGAAAGCTATTTCTTTTTGCGGAATGAACATTTACAAAATCAGGAAAAGGAACTAAAAGCTTTCTGCTTCCCTCCCCTCCTATCTATTCTTAGATTATTGGATAAACTACTCTTTGATTTCAGTTATGGAAGAATGAAAGAAAAATGAGCAGTGAAAAAATGGAAGAAACAAGCATTCCACCTTCTTGTTCACCTTAATGATATAATATATCTACTTTTACTTTCCCAGAAGTTGCTGAGAGGAAATTCATATTTGCTTTAAACATGAAAGATAGCTAAACTGCCACATGTATATAAGCAATTTGCAATTTCAGAACAGCTAAAATATCTAATTTCCACTTCCTGAAAGTTATCTTCAATTCTTCATATCAAACAATAACAACCAGAGCATAAATTATGGGGGAATTAAGCAAATAAAACAGAATCTAATACATTTCTAAACGCCAGAAGAATTAAAAGCAAAGAAAAACAACCATCTTCTGTCCCGACTTCTACTAATTTTATCAGCAAAAACAAATGGATTGAAGCCTAACATTGATCAAACAGTGGAGATCACACTCTAATTCTAAAAAAAAACTGAAAATGGAAACAAAAGATAGAATTTCTAATCAAAGATTCCAATAATAATTCAATTGTCTCTTCATACTCGGGAATTTGACATTAACGGATCCGGAGCAGCTAAAATTAATACTAAGAAGAAAGACACAGAGAAAATTCAGAATAAGTTGCTTTACCTTGGAGAAGAATATGAAGATTGGCCTGGAAGAGAAGCGAAAAGAGAGCTTGGAGAGCGGAAGGTAAGGCGAGATGGAGGTGGCTTTAAAGACAGAGGAGAAGGAAGCGGAGGGTGGCATTGAGAGTGAAGACGCCATGTATTCGTTTAAGAGACAGAGGCAAAGAAAAAAAAATGAGGTTGAAAGAAAGCATAGGGGAATCCGTGGGCAAGAGAGAGAGCGGACAAGTGGATGAGTTGAAGTGATGAAGCTTTAAATGACGACGAAATAGGAGGGAGAGAGATTGGACATACCCGCTATTTGGGTTGATCTTCGCCGGCTCGTGTTGGTTTCTTTGTTTAATATTAGGATAAACTGCACCCATGACCACTTAATTATAAAGGGATACTATTTTAATTACTGGTTTTCATTTTAATTACTGATTTTCACTCATTGTTAACCTTTAATATAATTACACATTTTATCTTTATTACTTATAAATTTAATCCTAAATTTTCAATCATAACCTTACTGATAATATAAAAAAAATCAATTATTTTTTCAGTTTAATTTATATCAAGCTATTTGACGGGACTAACTCAATTAAAATCTTAATATGATTTTTCAAGCTTATTTTCGGATAATGAGATTTTTATGTCTAACAGTAACATTTTATATTTTTAATGTTGAAGTGTCAAATTCTAGTCAATTATAAATGATAAATATACATTTAGGCATGGAAATTGATTTCGGTGTTTAATTCAATATTTAATTTTTTTTCCAATTCTATACTTGAATTTAGGTTTGAGCTTTAATGTGTATCTAATTTTTCTGATCCAGTTATATATTTGAACTTTACTTATTAGTTTAAATCGAACTTGAACTTAACTTTTCAGTACAAATTGACACTTACGATTATTTTTAACTAATTTGAACTATAAAATCGAGCATGAAATATGGAAGAGCGTTGGATTTTAGTGGAATCGAACAATTTAGATGTGATACATATGCTTCAGAAAGGAACAATAAAAAAGAAGTTTTTACGGTAACTCATCATATCCTAAAATTATTACGCCATCGATAGAAGATATAATTTATACATGTTTTTGTGAAAGAAATAAGATTGTAAATAATATAGTCAAACTAACCCAAAAACTACTTTAAGAAAATCATGAGTTCGATAATCCACCAAACAGGGTAACTGAAGCACTACAAGATAACCCAATGCAATTACAGATGATGATTGCAACATAGTATAATCTACCCAAATTTCCTCTTTTCTTTTTTAAAAAAGGTTTAGGTACCCAGTTGAACCTTCAAGTCAAGTACAAGTACTTAACTGTCCAATACTTAACTTTCCAAAAAAAAAAAACTTAGGTACCTAATTGAATACTGAATCCAAGTTCAGGTACCAAAACTTACATTTAATTTACTAGGATAATAAAGTAATAATGCAACCGAACCCTAACAGAATTTATTTCCTTCATTTTTAAAGCCCTCATTCCTCTCAACCACCGTTCCATTTCTTCTTCTCACGAATCCTCGAAACAAGCAATCTTCCTTGGCTTCCTAAAGGCCCGTTGTTGTGGTAAGCATATTGATTTCTTGTGATTATTCTTTTCCATTTTTCGATCATGAAATTAGCTCCTCGTAGTACTTTTTTTGGCTAATTTGCAAGGCTTCCATTGCGCTTCTAAATGCATTCGTCTCTTTCGAAATTATTATTATTATTATTTATTATTATTAATTTGAGGTTAAATTAGCTATGAGTTGAAGATGAAAATGACAAAAATGAGAATCTGGTGAATTTATCTTGGACAGGGTTTGAATTGGTAAATTACATTTCTTTCTTGGTATTATCGTGTTTTGTCTTTGAACTTGATCCAAAACTTATCCTTTGATATCCCTCTTTCGGGTTTTCTGAATGTTTTGAATTTGTATATCTGGGTTTGATCTATAACTTATTGCTTAGAACATATACTTTATTCAGTATTTTCGTGGTGAAACTTGTTTATTGTTGATCATGATTGAACTTCAATTATAATTTTTGTTTGAAATAAGTCTTCTTTAATTTAGAATCCATGTGATCATGTATTTAACTGTTATTTTATCAAAACTTTACAAAATGATCATTAAATTTATTGAATTCTTACACTTGTTATGATGTAAGAGTGACCATTTTACAATACTTTGATAAATTTAATAATCATTCGAAACTTTTAAAAGTACAGTAACAACAATTATTTGAGCATAATTCAGTTATTAAAACGATCATTTAAACATAGTTCAATGTCCAATTTATTTTCTTGTTTTCAACATTTCTAGATAATATTCTTTTTTCGCAGCTTGTGTAGTGAGCATTTTCCAAAATTACTGAACTGCTGCTTTTCCCTATAATGTAATAGGGTTATCCTAACAAATCTGCAAAGAGTCAGGGGGAAAATAAACACCTTTTAATGGCATCTAGAGTTTCTCTAAAGACTAAAGGCAAAGGGGGGAAGGGATTTAAGGGCTCGGATGAGAAATCAGCTGCGCAGTGCTTGAAAGACTGGAGCACATGGACTATGAAGAAAGCCAAAGTGGTAACACACTATGGCTTCATTCCGCTGGTGATCATCATCGGCATGAACTCTGAACCCAAACTCCAGCTTTATCAATTGCTAAGCCCTGTCTGATTAACTTGTTTAACTATGTAATTGGTTGTTGCCTATCTGTCGAATCTACATGGTATTATGTTAGGGGCTTGTCTTTTACATGATGTTGGCTGTTTTAACCTATATGCCTATGAATAATCACGAGCGGTGGTGCATTTTATGGGAATTTGAGTCTTATTTGAAATTCTCCATGTTTTCTTTTATTGCTCATTTCCAGCGTAATGACTTGTGTGCATTCAACTGTGCTCGCAGTTGAATTTCGTTATTGCCCATCATGTTTGTTTCGTTTTATTGTTTTCTTATTGAGTTCGGGCTTTAGAATCGGTCGATTTCCCCTTGGGACTGTGTTGGTCCGACACATTCTCCGAACATTACTAATGATCAACAAGCTCTTATTCGTTGTTCAACATGGCTGGATTATTATCATTAGATCTTGTTAGGTTTGTGGGAATTTGGACTTTAATTTTCTTTCCCGTCTGGTACTTAACTGGTTTTGAAATGCAAAATGTCGCTCAGTTATCGAATCAGGTTATTATTGATCATTGTTGATAAATAGTCGGCTGATGAAGATACTAACGTGATAAAAAATAAAGTTTAAGTTTAGATACTACTTCTGGTAATGAAAAATAAATACATGATTGAGCCCCTTAATTATAAACGAAATAGTTTAATAGAATTGTATTTTATTGTTTATTTTTTATAATTGCCATGTTAACAATTAACGATAAAATTAAACATATATTAGTGGAAAGATAACCTTTTTAAAATAAAAATGGTACAGGAACTCTATGTCGCAATATTAAGATATAAAATACCCAAATGACCATAAATACTTATAAACCCCTTTATTATACCCATTCTCCTACTATAGTACCTAATATTTTTGTTGCCTGTTGCCTACTCTAGTGCTTGAAACTATCATTCTTGTCATCAACTTTAATCCGACATTTTACAATCATTTAAATAAAAGGATGCATTCATTCAATCTATAAGAACATATCGTGTATTGCTCACTCATCCATATCATGTGTGAAACTTCGATCGATCAGTTAATATCAAGTAGTGTTTAATAGATATTAAATAATGATTAGTTAATTATATCTAAAGATCCATTAATACCAATAGAAAATATCATATTATTGATGGCGCCGATAAAAATTATACAATTACGTTGTGTTTTAATAAGTTAAATATCTCACGCAAATTTATTTGATTCTTTAATTGTGAACAAGTTGGAACTAAAGCATATGACGTAGTGATCATTTACGAATCAGAGTTCAAAAAATGATCGAATTTAAAGGCATTCATCTCTGCACAGGAATAGAAAGAGCTAATGATCAAACAAATAGTATTATTAGAATTACAGTGTAACATTGTTTCCTATGAATGTCGTTTGTATCCATAAAAGATTAAAGTAGACTAATAAAATGTTGAAGTATTAAATTAGAAAAAATACCATATACTAAAGAAATAAATTAAATCTTACTTTATAAATCAAACATATAATATAATTATGAAAAGATATTAATTTAATTTTAATTAAATTCGATACGGATATTATATAGCACTACTATATTCTTATTAAAAAATGAGCGTTGAACCAAATATAAATAGCAGATCTACAAATATCTAATATGGAAGATCCATTTAGATTATTTATAATATACATATATATGTTTTCATTTTGGTCATTACTCCATTTTAATAAATTTAATTTAGATTTTTTTTGCTTAATTCTGATTAACTGATTCATTTAGCTTTATATTATACATGTTCCAAAGCCGTAATTCTCTCTTTCCCTTGTCCGGTCTCATTTCAACTTTAATTCGTTTCGATTTTAGGGTTTCAGATCTCTTTGTCTCAGGTAATTTTACGAAATCCTTTTATCAATTTTCCTTTAGTCGGATTTTCGGATTTAAAATTACTTTAACTACTCCTAAATCGATCGGTCTTCTTCACTCTCTAATCCTTTGTTTTCCCATCCATTCCTTACACCCACTTTATTGGTGAACAAACAGGAAGGTGGATTTGAGATGTCGAGGTTCCATGTTGGTGGGAAAGTAGTGGACAAAGTTGATTTGTTTAGAAAGAAACACACAGCATGGCGATTAGACGTTTGGCCTTTCGCAATGCTCTATATCCTTTGGCTAACTATTGTAGTTCCTAGCTTAGATTTCGTTGATGCAGCCATCGTGTTCGGCGGCCTTGTTGTCACTCACACATTGGTCTTGCTTTTCACGGCTTGGTCCGTGGATTTCAAGTGCTTTGTTCAATATAGCAAGGTAATAAAGATTATACTGTGATTCCGGTCTGGTACGAGTTTTGGAACGAATTACTTATTTATTTTTCGAATTTGGAATATAATGGTGTGCGCAGGTCAATGATATTCGCCATGCTAATGTCTGCAAAATTACTCCGGCAAAGTTTTGTGGTTCGAAAGAGGTAGTGCCACTTCATATTCGTAAGCAGGCAGGTTTCTCTCTCTCTTTTATTTCTTTATTTGTTTGTTTTCATTTTAATTATGTAGGCATTGCCTAGTTTACTTTTGTTTCTTGCTTTTTATTTTTTATTATGCAAATTGAAAAGCAAATTGTGCATTTCAGTGGGAAAATTGGTTGTATTATTATTATTGATAGTAACAGTAGTATGTGGTTTTGCATAATTTTATTTTTATATAAAATATTTATGCCAGAATTGGTTTTGCATTATAAGTTTTTCCTTTCGGAAATTTTGTTTGAATAATCTGTGTGATTTAATTATTGTCTCTCTGCTTGCCCCTCTTCCTTTCCCCCTTGTTTGGATCCGAAGTCTTCCTTTCCTTTTCAACTCTCTTATTTCATATGAATTGTGTGATTCAGATTTTTCTTCCAGTGCTCCTACTTTGCCCCTCCTCCCCCTCCCCCTCCACTTTGAGTTCTTATATTTTTATTTGATTAATTGCATAGGTAGCAAGTTCTTCATCTGCGAAAGATGTGGAGGAGATTTACTTTGATTTCAGGAAGCAGTGCTTCATCTATTCTAAGGAGGAAGATACCTTTTGCAAGCTTCCATATCCTACAAAGGAAACATTTGGCTATTACCTAAAATGTACCGGCCATGGCTCTGATGCTAAAGTTCTTGCTGCAACTGAAAAGTGGGGACGTAATGTGTATGTTGCTAGCATACTAATTTTCACCTTAGCCTTTCAATTTGTTTTGATTTGACTTGTCCTGGATAAATGACTAATGAAAGGAACCTTTTGATAGTAGCTTACTGTGTGGTTTGCCACAAATTAATGGTTTTACTGTTGGAATCTTTTGAATATCAAAATTCCCATGCTCTAATGTTTTAATTTTGTTTTTATTCTTACTTAATTTAATTGACAGAGCACAATTCTCCCCCTCCCTTCAGTTTTCTATGATTCTTCACTTATCAGTTGTGAATTGTGGACTGTGCTAATCTGAGATGTTCTAATTTTTTTATAATAATACGACTGTTACATGTTCACATGAATTTGTTTCTATCATGCAGATTTGAATATCCACAACCTACTTTTCAGAAATTAATGAAAGAGCATTGCATGGAGCCCTTTTTTGTCTTTCAGGTTTTCTCATTGTTAGAATGTCTTTAAAATATCGATTTTTTTTCTTTGATGGCAAGGTACTTTTTGTGACATTTTATCTTGTCTTTTGTAGGTATTCTGTGTTGGTCTTTGGTGTCTTGATGAGTATTGGTATTACAGTTTGTTCACCTTATTCATGCTGTTCATGTTTGAGTCAACAATGGCAAAAAGTCGGTTGAAGACTTTAAGTGAGTTAAGACGCGTTAGAGTGGACAGCCAGACTCTAATGGTGCATCGATGTGGGAAGTATGTTTCTGTAAACATCAGCTTATTGTTTCGTATAGTGTGTGTGTTTGTGTGACTATTATCATTTTATTACTACGACTGTTTTTAAGCTTTTTCGAAGTTTTAGATTTATAATTCAAACTTTGGGAGTTGTAGGTGGGTGAAACTATCTGGAACAGATCTATTGCCTGGGGATGTTGTCTCCATTGGTCGATCATCTGGTCAAAATGAAGAAGATAAGTCTGTTCCAGCAGACATGCTTATACTAGCTGGAAGTGCTATTGTGAATGAAGCCATTCTCACAGGCGAGTCTACTCCCCAGTGGAAGGTGGATCTCTTCTTAATTCTGTTCTTGTTTCCTGTTTTAGTATTCAATAATGATCTCTTAGGCATGATGTTTAGTTGTGTAAAATCTTTGTTGTGGGAGTTCAATCGATGAATGTAAGGTTTCTGTCGTAAAACTAACTATATTTTTTTAATGGTTAGTATTGCAATCTTAAGTTTGACTTGAAAAATTTGTATTGTCTAAGCCTAATTCTGCCTTTTCCTTTAAATGCTTTCCCTATATCTTTAGATTTTATTTTAGATCATTTGACTTGTATGTTGCACTTCATACGGGGTTGTTTTCCACATTATTTTTACTCATATAATCTCTCTAGAGAAAACCTTTGTTCAGTGACAGTTTATATGAGTTAAAAAATTTTCCCTAGGTTTCTATAGCAGGCAGGGGCATTGAGGAGAAGCTATCTTCCAAGCGCGACAAGAATCATATTTTGTTTGGTGGGACTAAAATATTGCAGCACACAGCTGATAAGGTAGTTTGTACCAAAATTTAGTTATTAACCTATCTCATGTTTATCCCTTTAATTTAAATTTCTATATTTCTAATTGGATCAGAGCTTCCCTCTGAGAACTCCAGATGGTGGCTGCCTGGCTGTAGTTCTGCGCACTGGGTTTGAAACAAGTCAAGGAAAACTTATGAGAACAATTTTGTTTTCTACAGAAAGGGTAATGTCTTATGTGTGCTTTCAAAGTGTTTGGTTTATTTATATCCATTTTGTATTTATTTTTCAGTAGTTTATTTTCAATTATGCGCTGTAGGTTACTGCTAACAGCTGGGAAAGTGGCCTCTTTATTTTATTTCTTGTTGTATTTGCAATAATTGCCGCTGGTTATGTACTTAAAAAGGTAAATTAATTCTTCTTGAGGTAGTGGAAACCATATTAAGCTTACATGTTTGGTAGGTAAATGATAATAATATCATTTTACATGTAGGGACTGGAAGATCCTACAAGAAGCAAATACAAACTCTTCCTTAGTTGTTCTCTTATTATTA